ACCACCAGCCCAGCAGACCCCCCACACCCTCACCAGCCCACACCCACACAGCAGCCACCCACCAGCAGCCCCACCAGCAGCAGCAAGCCCAGGCCCCAGCCCACCAGCAGCCAGCACCACCAGCAGCAGCAGACCCAGCAACACCCCCCACAGCCAGCATAACCACAGCACAGCCCACAGCCCACAGCAGCCATAGCCCACCACACCAGCACACCAGGGACAGACAGCCACACAGACCCACAGCAGCCACCACAGCAACCAGCAGCCCCACCCAGCACAGCAGCCCCCACCAGCCCCAGCCAGCCCCCCACCACCAGCACCAAAGCAGCAGCACCGCACCAGCAAAGCACCCCCACCCACCCAGCACCCACACCTAACCCGAGCAGCACCAGCCCCACCCAGCACCCAGCAGCCAGACAGTTCAGCAGCCCCACCAGCAGCCCCACCAGTCAGCAGCAGTCACGCAGCCACACCCCAGCACAACCCCAACCGAAGCACACAGCCACAGCCACAGCACCCCCCCCACAGCCCACAGCCCCCACCAACAGCCCACAGTCCCACAGCCCCAACCCCAGACCCCCCCCAGCACCAGACAGCCAGCCCACCAGCAGACACCCAGTCCACCCCCCCACCAGCCAAGCAAGTTCAGCAGCAGCACAGCCACCAGACCCACGCACAAGCCAGCCACACCCCACCCCACCCCCAGACCCAGCCAGCAAGCCCAGCCACCACAGACCCAGCGCCCAGCACCCAGCCAGCCAGCAGACACCAGCACCCCAGCCCAGCCACCCCACAGCAGACCACAGCCACACCCAGAGACGTCAGCAAGCAGCCCACCAGCACACCCACCAGCCAGCCACAGCAGCCAGAGCCACCCCCGCCAGCACACAGCCCACCAGCCAGCCCAGCACCCACAGACAAGCCCCCCGCCAGCACAGCCACAGCCAGCCCAGCAGCCACCCCCCCCAGCCAGCCACGCACCAGCAGCCCCCAGCAGCCACAGCCGCCCACCCAGCGCCAGCCACCAGACCCCCAGCCCAGACAGCAGCACACAGCAGCACACCAGCCACCAGCCAACCAGCACCCAGCACCAGCCACCCACAGCCAACCACCCCCATTCCACACAAGACCACAGGCCCCACCAGCCATCCACACATGCAGCACCCAGCAGCAAGCAGCCAGCCCCCGCACAACACAGCCCCCACCACAAGCAGCCAGCCACAGCCAGCACACACCAGACCCAGCAGCAGCACACCATTCACACCAGCCAACAACAGCCAGACAGACATCAGCAGCATCACCCACCAAACCACCCAGCCATCACAGATTGCCAGCCCCACAGCCAGCAGCAGCCACCACCCACCACCCAGCACACAGCCCAACACAGCCACACCCCCACCCAGCCAGCCACCACACACCCCCCAACACGCCCCACCCCCAGCCCCCCACCACCCAGCCCACGCAGCCACAGCCCACCACCCCCCAGCCCCAGCATCAACACCCCAGCCAGCAAGCACCCCCAGCACCCACAGTTTCAGCCAGCGCAGCACACAGCCCAGCAGCCCAAGCCCAGCACCCCCAGCAGCCGACAGCCAGCGCAGCCACCCCCCAGCCACCCCCACCAGCAGACCCCCAACACCCCAGACCAGACCACAAGCCCAAGACCACCCAGCAAGCAGCAGCCCACCCCCCAGTCAGCCCACAAGCAGCAGCACAGCCAGCACACACAGCCCCCCCACCCAACAGCCAGCGCCCCACCAGCCACACCCAGCACACCAGTCAGCCCACAGCAGCACAGCTACACACACACCCAGCAGCAGCCACCACCCGACAACCACCAGCCAGCACCAGCAGTCACCAGCAGAGAAACCAAGCACAAGCCCCAGCACAAGCAGAGCCACAGCAGCAGCAGCCACCCACACAGCCCCCCCCACAAGCCCCAGACCCTCCCAGCCCCCAGACAGACAGAAGCCACCACCCATCCCACCCACCCCCACAGACACCCACCAGCACACAGCCAGCAACAGCCCCACACACACATCCAAGACACCAGCAGCCCCACCAGCCCACCAGCCAAGAGCCCCAGCAGCCACCAGCAGCAGCAGCACAGCAGCAGAACCAGCAAGCCCAGAGCCACACACCAGCAGCCCCAGCCAACCCCGACAGCCACATCACATCCACAGCAGCCAGCACAGGCAGCCCAGCCCCCAAAGCCAGCCGCATCAGAACCCACACCCAGCCAGCCAGCAGTCCCACCACCACAGCCACACCAGCCCAGCCCCAAGCCCAGCACCCACCCCAGCCCACAGCCCACAGCCCGACACAGCACCCAGCCTCACACCAGCACCCCCCCAGCCCCCACATCCCACCAGCACACAGCCGCCCCCAGCAACACCAGCAGCCCAGCACCAGAACACCCAGCACCCCAGCACCAGCCCCACACCCCCCCAAGCAGCCCCCCCCAAGGGAAAAAACCAGCACCCCAAGACGCAGGGCCCCAGCACAGCAGCCCAGCAGAAGCCCCCACATGCCGCACCACAGCCCCAGCCAGAAGCCAACACAGCACAGCCCACCCACCGCCAGTCAGCACCCAGCAACCACCACAGCCAGCACGCACAGCCAGCCAGGACCAGCCACGCCACCCCTCAGACACACAAGAGTCACAGCCAGCCAGAGCAGCCAGCCACCAGAGCAGCCAAAGCCAGCAGCAGAGCAGCACACCACAGCCCAGCCACACAGCCACCCCAGCCAGAACCACAACAGCCCAGTCCCCCAGCCCCCCACAGCCAACCAATGACCCCAGAGCAACCAGCAGCCCACCCCAACCCAGCAGCACCAGCACACACCACAGCACAGAAGACCCAGACAGCAGCACCAGCCAGCAGAGCCCACCACCAGCAGCCAGCACAGCCAGACCCAGCACCACACCACCAACAGCCAAAGCCCAGCAGCCCACCACAGCCAGCCCACACAGCACAGCCACCACAGCCCGCAGCAACCCCCAAGCCCAGACCCCACAGCAGCACACCCAGCAGCCCAGCAGGCCACGCCCAGGCAGACAGCCTCCCAGCAAAAGCAGCAGACAGAAGCCCCACCCCCCAGCACACAACAGCAGCCCCAGCAGGCACACCACCACATCAGCAGCCACCACAGCCCCAGGAAGAGCAGCCCAGCACAGCCAGCAGCCCCACCAGGGCCCAAGGCCACAGAAGCAACAGCAGCACAGACACGGCAGCAACAGCCCCCACAGAACAGCAGCAGCACACCCCACCACACAGCCCAGCCCCCACAGCCAGCACCACACACAGACCACAACAGACAACCCCCAGCAACACGCACACCAGCCAGCCAGCCACAAAGCCAGCCCAGCCACAGCAGACCAAGCCCCAGACCACCACCAGAAAGCAGACAGCCAGGGGGGGCACAGCAGCCACCCAGAGCTCCCACCGCCCAACACCCCACCCCACCAGCCACACCAAAGCACCACCACCCAGGCCCAAGCAGCCCCAGCAGCCAGAAGGCAGCCCACGCCCCCCCAGCAGCCCACACAGCACAGCAAAGCAGCAGCCCGCAGCACCAGCACCCAGCAACACCAAGATCACCCACCCAAACACCCACCACCCAGCAAAAAGCCACAAGCAGCCCCCCCAGAGCAGAAGCAGCAGCCACCCCAGCAGACAAGCACACAGAACGCACAGCCAGCAGGCCACAACCCCCACCAGCCAGCACATCCATTTTACAGCCACACAAAGCAGCAAATCAACAAGCAGAATAAACAAGCAAGCAGCAACACACAAAAGTCATGTGCAAACAAGCGTCAAACAAGCAAGCCAATAGCCACAACTACAATCGGCAGGCAAACACTGCAGCATGCACAAAAATCTGTCCAGCAAAGCAAAATACAAATCAAAGCAGTCAAGCAACAATCTGCCAAAATAAATAAAAGAAAAGGCATCCAGCAATACATAACATAACATAAAGGCTCAATTCTGCATCAAAAAAAAAAGACATCTGCAACAAATAAGCCAGAGCAGCAAACATGCAACCAGCAAGCAAACCTGCCAAACAGCAGCAAGCAGGCAATCTTAAAGCAAGACAAAGCAGCTAAGCAGCGCATCAAAAGCAAGCAGCAGCAAAAAAAAAGAAAGCATCAAGCACAATGCATCAAAAAGCAAAAAACAAATGCAGGGCAGGCAAACAGCAAACAAAAACAGCAAGCAGCATCAAGCAGCAAATCTGCCATACCTGCGCAGCAGCAATAAAATCTGCAAGCTAGCAAAATGCAAAAAATTCTGCAAAGATCAATGCAAAATTCTCACACAAAACTAATCTGCAAAGCAGCAAGTCCACGCAACAGCAGACAGCAAAAATACAGCAAAAAAAAGATGCAATAGCTGGAAAAATAGCAATGCACAACATAAAGCAAAAGCAAGCAAAAAGCAAGCAAAGCACCAAAAGCCATAACAGCAGCAAAACAGCAAGCAAAATGCAAAAGCATCAAACCTGCGCAACAAAGTCAGCAAAAACGCAAATCAAGGGCAAAAAATAAGCAAAAAAGCAAAAACAATCGCAAAGCATAGCAAAATGCAAAAGAATATATACTCATTATGGGTAAGAACGTAACTAATCATCTATTTCTTCAAAGACCGTGAAGGTCTCAGGGGGGTAAGATCGTCCTCCCCGCCTCCGTCCCACTCCCTCGATGCCCGCCTCCCCCCCCTCGCTCACTGCTTCCCCTTCCCCCTTCCGACCCCCGTGCTTCCACCCCGCCTCATCTGCACACGCAAAAGCAAAGCATAAGACAAGCAGCAAGGCAACAAACACAGCATTCAATAGCACAAACAAATAACAAACAACAGCAGCAAGCAAAGCAGCCCAAAAAATCTGCAAAAGAAACTGCACATGGCTAGCCAGGCAAAATCGTGCAGCAACGCGTCGCAAAAAACAAGCATGCAGCACAATACAAAATAATGCAAGCAACAACCTAAACAATTTCAAAG